ACCAGGTGTTCTTAACTCGGGCAAGTGGAAAGGTGAGCAATCCCAGTAAGAAACTTGGTACTGGGACTCGTTCTTTAAGGTCAAGGTGACAGAAATCTGCCATCATGACAGGCTTCTTAAATTTTCAAATACTCTGGTGTAGAGACAAAGCTGTCCTTTCATATTAATTATAGCATAATTTTTTTTCCAAAATTCAAACAAAATATTATTCTTTACAGCACTTTTCAATTATGAGTTAACTGTGTGCAAGGCTACAGGTACAACTCATGGGAAAAACAGTTGTTCACCTGAAATATTCCAGGTATTGTTTTTCACAAGGTATTCCCATTCCCAGGAAATGTAGGATTTCTTCTTCCTCAGAAGAAATTTAAATGCCAAGTATTATAAGCTACAAGCAATGTTCCTGTGCTTCATGGGAGTATGAATGCCCTAATAAAATGCATCTTTCATATAAGCACTAGAGATTGTCAAGGACACAGATTTTTTTTTCCACTGTTGCATTAATAATATAAACCAGATGGGGATTTTTTTCCCTGACATTCCAGGTACCTGAGGTAATGGTAGATGTTGGAAAGCCACTCAGTGGCACATTATTTTTATTCTAAAAGGTTTTAATAAGTAACTGTGGTGCACAGCTATCTGCCATTGGAGAAGGAATGATGCAATGATGGTACKGCAGCTCTGTTTTAAGTGGCAGTGTTCCAGTGTGTCAATGAATAGATGATGAAGGTAACTGCACAGTTTATTGCTATGGGGAAAGTTTGGTGTATTGTCTTCTACAGGAAAGTTGCTGAAATCATCACTGTCAGCAAATGACGTGATTGGTTATGAGCCTTCTGATTTGGATGAGATAGTGTAATTATGTGATGATGTTTGTGGTAGAATGTAGGAGGTAAACAACTTCTGCAGGTGAATAAACAAAGCAATACTAAGAAATCTGATAAGCACAGAAGCTTCTTTATATATGACAAGAGAAAAAATCCTATAAGCTGTAATGTGTTTTGTTGGTTTGGTTGCTGAGGCTTTTCCCCCAAATGCTGAAGTTAGTCTGCTGCTATTTTGGCTATTTTCCTAATAAGCAGAGGGCTTGAAGGTATGCTTTGGGTGTCATGACTGGCTGAAAGCAACTCACCTGTTTTTACCTCTTTGTTTTCTTAATTACAAGCTGGTTTTCTGGTTAGGAAATTCTGTAGTTAGTGACTTACTGCAGCAAGTCCCGGGATGGCACAAATCCTGGCATAGGATTTCACCTGGCTGCATATGCCTTGAGCAAGCTTCCTCCTTTGTGTTGCTTTTCTCTCTCACTCTTGTATTTGCAGATCATGCACAAATGCCCACTGTTCCCTCATGTTCCATAGCCAAAAGGCATCAGCATTATAGGCTTCCTTTTCAAGTTGTAGCTTGCTGAGGACATGTCATTTCTCCAGTTGCCCTGATTTTGCTGTATGGATCTTGCCCACATAATTGACAGTAATGATGGGAGCACCACACCCCGGATTGGTTATAGCCATTAGCTAATAATGCCAGTTACACAGTAAGGCCCATCTTACATTTGCCAGCTGGTGATGAAAGGGATAAATCCTTTCTTTGCTGGGACATTTATACCAACAAAAATTCCACTGAGGCCATGCTGCATAGGCCAACCCTGGCGAGTTTGGAACCTATGTACTAACAAAAAGCACAGATTTTACAATAGCAGTCCCACAAAAAGGCCCCCATACAGCCTCCTACTTCTYATTAGGCTTGAGCAAAACTTGCTGTCTTCTGTTCTGAATTCGTTATAGACACATTCTTCAGGTCCTCTTTGAAAAAGGAATGTATAGAACATGTAAGAAGCAAGTCAAGTTTCATTCAGCCTTTTATCAAAGTGCAAGCTTTGGTATTTGGTATATGTAAGCTTTGGTACAGGACAGCAGCAGGCACAGGCTTAAAGAGATGATAGCATTAACATGTAATTTCCAATTGTATTTATAAATAACACCGGTTTAGGGCCAGCTTTACGAGCCAAAGGTGTTTTCACCATTTTGACAGAAACTGAGCTATTCCAGTACACAAACAGGCACACTTGTGTGCATATTCTGCATGTGTTTCAGAGGCAGATTGCTCACTCATAGAAGTTACCTGAGGTGAGCACAGCAAAGGTGTATTATAGTGAGCGTTTTCTCGATTCTTCAAGGAAACTCTTGTCACTGAAATGAAAACTTTTCTACCCCAGGAGCTAAGTCCTTTGCAGCCCCAGTGCCTCCTGAAGGAAGCCAAATGCCTCCCAATTTATTTGTGCCCCTCAGAAACCTGTGCCCTGGCAGTCTCCAAACAGTAACAAAAGGCTTCCAAAATTGAAATCAATAACTTGGCCATAATCTCCTCCTTGGATTTAGTGTAAATAGAAGTCTCTTGGAAGGGAGTGCTAGAAATACAGATTTCCTGACACTGTAACCCAATTCCTGGAAACATTCCTTTCTCAAGATTGAGGTGAATGCTGCAACAGCTTATTGMGGGTTTTGTGAGAGGCCACAGGAGTAGAAGTAGTAGTAGTGAGTAGTAGCAGGTAGCTTAAACATCAGCTCAGAAGTCTCAGCCTGGGAATATTGCAGAAGCAGGGAAAATAGATGGCCTTAGCTCTGAATGTTGCAGCTYATACTGGAAGAAAAGGGCAAAACTGTGTAGTCTGGTGCTCAAAAGATCTTGACTCAGAGCTTCACTTGTGACAGAATACATAAAGCTTTAAATGCAAAATAAACTAAAAACATACAAGGAATGGGTTTATTTTTTGAGAATTGCACTGGAGATGGGAGGCTCAAGTGAAGGTGTTTTCTGTCTCTGTCTGTCATTCTCACTAAGCACTATCCACCATGTGGAGAAAAGCTCCATACTACCTGTGTCACACTGGTGTGCTGGTCGGCACTACACCTGCTCCCAAAAGATTCCTTTTGCTTCTGTTTTGAACAATTAGAGCTCATCTGTAACTTTTTCACACAGGTTTACAAAACACACGAACTTGTCAACGCTGGCATATCTGATATCACCATCCGTCCAGACAAGAAGATTTTGGCAACAGCAGGATGGGATCATCGCATCAGGATCTTTGGCTGGAAAAAGCTGAAGCCCTTGGCAGTGCTGGACTATCACACAGCAACCGTCCACTGCGTTTCCTTCTCAGATCACAGCAATGCCCAGGAGAGACTGCTGGCAGCTGGCTCCAAAGATCAGCGCATCAGTGTCTGGTCAATATATGCTCAGACGTGACACGTTCTGCACTGCCATGGACTGGGAAAACAGGACTGGTCAAGCAATTCCTAACACTGTAATTCAAACATGGATGTGGGGAAGTGGTAGAATCTGTCTCCAGGATCAAATGAGAATCCAAGATTAATTCTTATGCTGCTTGTTTAGGCTGTAAGTTTTGTCTTCCAGAGAGGGAAGTGGATTTTAAAAATTATAACAAGCAGAACAAGTCCAGTCACAAAGAACACAGAAGTTGCTTTGGGTTCTGCTACAGGTTTTGCAACAGCTTTTCTTTGGCAGGTTGCTGACATAACTTGTGCCAATATCTTTTGTAAAAAAAAGGATTGGAATCCCTCAAACTGTGGTGGGGGCAGAATACGTCTGGTTTTAAGTCATTTATGTATCCAAGAATCTGAATCAGTGTAAAATATCACTCCTTCTTGAAAATTTATACCCATTAAACCACCTCCAGTGGTTTCTCATTGTCAGTTACTTTTTCTTCCCCCTAACTGAACAGCTATCAGAACACCCTTGATTTGTTCACACTTCTGTCAGTTTCTAACTTAAACCAACAGCCAGGAATGTGACTAGGGACGGCCTTTGGCATTTATGAATTTCATTATGTCTCCTGTCACCTCAAGCCTCACAATTAATCACAAGAAAGAAAGGGAAAAAATCATCCCCTGCATTGCACTGCAAAGCTATGTAAAGCSTTTTACAGAGCCAGTGCTAAATCCTTTCCACAGACTGATGAGCTGAAGGATTTAAACTCGGCAATCCAATTAGCGCCCTTCTCCTTGGAGAGTTAGGGGTAAGTTTCAGTGTGGCAAGTCTGGGATTCAGCTGCACAACTTCCATTAACATTTAGGGGAATTGCATGGGTAAATCCTTATCCACAGCTGTGATTGGCTCTATTAACTTGGCATCTCTAAAGTCATGGAAGCTGAAATTCATTCATGAAGGTTTTTTTTTGTTTGACTCATGCAGCAGCATTTGCATTCTTCTAAAGCATATTAAATACACACTGGTGTGCTCAGAGCCAGGGTACTGCTGGATTCGGTCACAAAGCTGCAGTGACAACTGTGTCCAGGCTGTGCACTGTTGAAACTTTATTGGAAAAATGGTTTCTGCAATGTAGAGAGGTGAAAATCAAAGAAAAAGGGATCAAAAGTGAACAACAGCATCAAAGACTTTAGAAATTATTTCAGGAAAAACACACATGCAAATTAAGGTCTGGGTCTGTTGTCCAGCTGTGCCTTGCTGGACTGAAAGCCTTAAGCATCCAGCCTGATGTTCTTTACATTAAAACACAGAATTAGATACTGTTGCTAGGATTTTCTAAATAAAATGTGGCCTTACACATTTTAGTGTGTGATGACACTTTAAATAATGCATTTCTTTGATTATTTCTGTACTATTCAGTAGCTGCATGGAGGATCGTATTGCAGTTGAAAGTTAAAGCCTAATTTTGAGTGATCCTGAGTCAAGGGGAGGTGATGGTGTTCATTACATCTACCAGGCAGAGTTGCACATTACCCATCATCCACCTCTCACACAGAAGARGAGCTGCCCCCACTGTGCAAGCAGSTCCAGCCACTGCCTTGTGGAATGAGATGGGGTCATTCTCCACAAACCTGCTGCTGGAAGAAACTTTTTCCTTTGTTCTTTTCCCCCTTTCTTAAAGTAGGTCAGAACTGACATAAAGAAACTATGGGATAAATAAACGGAGAAAGCATTGTTGTGTGTGGTCCAGGAACTTGGCCTAGAGAGTTTGCACAGAGCTTTCCTTTTGCCTGTGCTGTCCGGCACTACACCATACATGTGGCACAGAGGGTGCAAGCATTCCTCTTCTCCATTGCAGCAAACAGCAGCCTGCACTGTTGGGCAATTTCCACAAAATTGGGCTGAAGATTTAATGCTCATCCAGCAGGAAAGGAARTCCAGGGCTCGCTCATCTTGGACAAATGGTTAGTGTAGGAAACTAGCATTGACTCAGTGGCATCCCTCTGGAAAGAAAGGATTAATCCCTATGTCTTATTAAGAGCACTCTTAGATCAGAGCCTGGAAGTTAGTTATTCTTGAGTATATTTTCTCTGAAAAGTGCAATTTACTGTCAACATCTGTGTCTAAAGTAATTAGGGAGACTCATGAGGGATGTTTAGATTTACAAATGGATCTTTTGGAAAATAAAAGATTACTGGGTGCTTACATCTAACTTACTGCCTTTTGCTGGGAGTTAAATATTTATGTTTTTCTGAAYAAGTAGATTTTAAAACAAACTTAATCATGCAAGTACAAATTGAAAATGAGAACATGAACTTCATCTCCCTAGCAGGCACATAGGTGAGAGTCTCATCAGCTTCATGAGGAAGAACACAGGTTGCAGGGCTGCTTGCAAGAACAGACCCATCTTGTATGTCCCATTACCAAAGCACTATCCATGCCATATTTGTCACATTACAGTTAATTCACTAACACTTTACATCACTACTTTTATTTAAACTTTTATTTAAACACCCAGCAAACAGATTTTTCTTTCACATTATAGCTGCCTTGAAATGAGCAACCAGACTATACYAGTTTGATTTAGAGTTGGTCCTAAATGCCACAGTTTGATTGTGAATTAGTCTTCCAAAAGTTTACTTGCTTAAGGAACTAACCYGGACTTCTCCAAAGAATGGCTTTCCAACAGGAAGGACAGTCTGTATTACTAYAGTCTGTAAAATACAGTTGTCTGATTGCATCTAAGAAATTCACCTTTTTTTAATACCAAAAGAAGTCAAAGRTCTTTACAATTATGCTATGAGCATGGTTGTCACTCAAGATTTCTGCTGATTTGCTAGCAGGTTGTGAGTGAAGAGCCACCTTAAGGTGCTGGAGTTAGCTCTGAAACGTCACCTGCCAGAAAGGAGCAGGGCTAGCCTCTACCGGGCCTAGAGGATTCAGGAGTGAAGGTGATGACAGCTAAATTATTACAAAAGGYTTCCTCCCAAGAATCACCATCTTTGGCACCATCAGAGGGAAGAAAGCAACCGGCATTTGTAARGGAATGGAAATAAATCCTAAACACCAGCATTTGTGCAGCAATTACATGGAATATTTATCACCACTGGAATGAATGGTGATCTCTGACCCTCTAACATTATTTGCAAATGAATCCATTAGTTACAACTGCTTTCTCTTATCAGTACCTGAGCCATAAAGCATTGCAGTCCTTAGTGCAGATGAGCAAGGAAAGAGATTAATTGTGTTTGTAGTAATGAGTGAAAAAGGAAGTAGGCTGGGGGCATGCAATGAGACAGTTGTTAAATTTAGTCTTTTAAAATGCAATTGCTACAGCATGCCAAAAAATTACTCTGCAGCTTGACTGAGACTGTTGCACACGTTTGAGTTTAAAAGAGCATATTTTTATAGTTAAATCAATACTGACTTCTGGATTGCTTTTGTTTTTAGGATATTTAAAATGCATCTACAAAGCCAACTTACAAATTAATAAATCTTTCCTTTAATTCAATCTGCCAAGAACAAAGATAGAATACTGACTACTGCAGGAGCCATGTTAGTGATGTAAACCAAAGGAGTGGGGATTAAACAAGGATTACTGAGCACTAAATCAAYGTGTTTCCTTTTCTGGCTGTGTGTCTGTGGTGTGAAAGTATGGATCATTACATAAAACATGGCACATGACTGCCTGGATTAATACTAGACAATGTTACACAGCAGTGCTGAGACACAAAGTGTGATGTTCAAACATGACCACTGTGCTACCAAGAAAGTGACASTCATGACTAAGAAGAAGGCAGAGGTTTCTGCTGCTGCATAGCATTATCAAATTCCAGCCTGGGTCCCCCTGCTAYAGTTTTTCCAAGTAAACTTGCCTGTGTTTATCTATGTCCTACTCTTCTGGGACATGCTGGAGGTTTCTTTTGTAATATGAAGAAAACTAGCCAGAATAAGATCATACTGGGGGCGCTTGACAATTCATGTAAGGATCTCACAGTATCAATTAAATGAAAATATAATCTCTCTGTTGTGAAAGTTTTGCTCACCTGATTAATGGTATGAACTACTTCTGTACATCCTATCAGCAGTGTTGTCTACTGCTTTCCTCTAACCTCAGAGGAATTTGATTTGCAGTTTGGTTTATAAGAGGAAAAAGGGGAGGGAGGAGTTAAATAAAACAAAGAAGCACCTTTTCTCTCTGAGTTAGGCAATGTGAAGATTGTGGAAAGCATGATGGGCCTTGGAGCAAACCACCAGCAGCGGCCAGATTCATCATGGGAAAAGGACAAAGATGGCAGGAAGAGTACCTGGTGGAACCATACAGTGATAGGTCTGGCTTCTAAAACACATACACCAGCTCATTTCAGTCTCAGACATATTTACTTTTACTCCCCCAGCATCCTTTTTTTAAAGGTGTTGGTACCACCTTTTAGACCACAGTGTACACCTCTAAATAAGCCTGTGTTCACCCAAAAGAGAGCATTTTTATTTCTCTGCTATGAAGAATCCTAAAACCAGAAACTGCAGTGCCACAAGGGRTAACACCAGGAAAGACTGAGGTCCTGAAGCAGCCACATGCACTGGAGAACCATCCCAGAGTATGAACTATCTCCTTCTGAGCCTGATTATCTCCAGATCAGGGAATCCAGTGAYAATGTTCAAATGCTGAGCAATTATTCTGCCCCTTAGCTCTGGCATCTCACACACGAAAAAGTACATTTTCCAGGCACCCAAGGCACTGCTTGCTATAAACATGTTCTGACACAGGTAAGAAGAGGTGGGTGAACTGGGTCTACATAATAACTTTAAACATAACAGAGAATGTGGCCATGGCATTTGTCCTGATGGTAATTTTAAAAACTGTTGATATGAAATCTCAGTGATTCATGGATGTATCATTTGTGTTCACAGAAAAGCACCTAGGCTGCTCTTAACATAACACTTAGAGTAAGTATAGTTCAGAGTTTTTGCCTCAGATATTTTGATGGCATGCAGACTTGGCATCCCGCTAAATAGAGACATTGAGTCTTTATAGTTTTATCTATTGAGCCCATCTGGTTTGAAGTAGTTGACAACAAGCAGGAAAGGGAATAGAATGAAAAACTCACTTCATGTTTGCTGAAATAAAAGAAATGTGTAAGGCAGTGTTCAAATAGAACCAGTCTGGGAGAAGGGCCGCCTCTCCCCACCCTTCCTGTGCCCTTTGCAGTTGACTGGAACGGGACGGCTTTGCCTGCAGCCCCTTCACTCTCAGTGCTGCTCTCACTGCCCATGGTTGGAGTTCACACCCAGACTAAGGGCAGCTGAAGCAGCCAGGCTGGAGCACGAGAGAAGGGGAACCATTTGCCCCTTGGAATAAGGAACAATGGGAGCATGAAGTAAGTGGAGTAACAAAGCAAAGACAAATGCCGAGCCCCTGCTCATCATCCAAGCTAAAACCACTAACAAAACTGATAGTGCAAATACCTCACACTAAGGTGCTTCTCTAAGCTTCCTAAATGTGTCTTTTCTGGCTCTTGCYCTTAATCACTTTGTTACTAGTTCAAATTTATAATTTTAACCTAAATAGAAGTGAGTGATTTATTGTAATTATTTTGTATAGGCTGCTCTTAATAAACTTTTTTTTTAAAAATCTGGAAAAACATTTAATTTCCCATATGGGAAGAACACATTTATCATACTTTACTTGGATATACTTGGCCAACTATTGCACATATATGCAAAACATATGTGACAAATTCAAGGCTGAATTTCATAAAACAGAAATGCTATGAAATGTGATATAATAAATATACTATACAGACATATGTGGCCAATTTATAAAACTATGGTATCTTTGGTAAATTTATAATAGRTCATTTCTATTAATGGGGGGAATGAGTGCGTTTTTTCTGGCATATGCAACACACAGTACTTTACACAGCCCTCCTGAAGGATACTGGGCCTTTGGAGAGCAATGTACATATATTGTGTATATGGGCTCTTATGTTTTTCARAATTAATGTATGTCTTCAAAACCARCTCTTCCCTWTTGCATTGTTTGTGCAACATATTGGGCAGGGAAAAAATTRTTAAATACTATTCTTTGGGATTTGCAAACCTCTGATGCACTGTCWAGGTTCCCACTTGAATCCCCCAGAGCGAGACAATGGGTGCCTCACTGTAACAGCCAGCACATTTGATATGCGCATGCTGTGCTCATATTAATGACAATAATAGAAATCTTTGGGTGTGATTACTTTCACCTGGTTTTGTCAAACACCTGTGCAAATTATACCCTACCAATCAATTGAATTGGAATGATTAAATGAAGAACAAAATGCGCATGTTTAGAAAAACGTTGCATTCATACACAAGTACTGGCCYCTGCACTCACAGACTGGACTCTTAGTAACACCAGCTTAGAGCAACGGCTGAGCCGTTGCTGTCTAAATATCCTCAAATTGTAACTCACGGGTGTCTGCCCCTCCATATTTATGCCAGCAGCGTTTCGAAGACCAAATCTTTGCTTTAAACCCCAAATCTATATATTCCTCTCAGACTGCGTATTTCCTAGCTCCGGAAAACGAAGCTCTTCTTGTTTTCCGCGCGAGCAGGATCCACCGCGTGCCATGCCCGTCTCTTCCCTCTGGAGGGAGCCGGCTCTTCAGGCAGGGCCGGCCGGGGTGCGCGCATCTTCCTCCTTTTCCTCCTYCTCCACCGCGGCCGCGGGACAGCGATACCTGCGGGGACTCTCCGAGGTGACCCGTGGGGCACACTGGGGGTGTCTCTGTCTACACCGACAGTTCCACACAAACGGCGGCTCAGGGCGGAGCACCCGCGGTTTCAACGCGCTGCAGCAAAGCCACGTTTGGTTTCGACCCATCAAGAAATCGAACAACASAAGACAAAGCACAAAGAACCAGCACACGTATGTGCACACACACGTACTTCCCCCACCCTCCAGCCCAGCCGTATTAAACAGGCTCACGGCAGCTTTTTGAGCTCTTTGGCTGATGGTGCTGAAACTTGCTTTGCAGGTACTGCTGCGTTTACTCTTCCAGCCTCCTCTGGGCGCAGGGCTCRGCTTCCACCCCCAACCCTAACCTGTGGGTGCCTAATTTATTTCCAGTTGTTACAGGGATCCCTTTACACAGGCAGAACATTACACACCACGAGTGAAGCTGCTTTTCTTATTCCTTGCAGTCCAGATCAAGGTGCAACTGCCCCTCAGTGAGAGATCCAGCATCACAGGCTAAAATTCACTTGCTGGAGAGAAGGAGCTGTGTTTTGGCAGGAAGCACAGTGCCCCAGCTGAGGTGGCCCTGAGCCATGTAGCTTCACTAGCCATGGCTACTTGTAGGGATGCACTGGAACCTCATAGCACATGGGATACCAACACTCTCTATGCTTACTGCAGTCCTTGGGTCATTCTCTACCCTGCAAGCCACTGTTACATAGTGTAGCAGGAAGCAGCCAAAGCTGTTGCTTGCTCCCCTGGCCATGGCCATGTATACGTGAGCTTGAGACTGACTGAAGAGATGCCMACATCTCAGCATGCTGAGAGGCACCTGCTGGGGTCTACCTGCACAGTTCCATGCAAAGAACTCCTGAAGAACTCCTTTAGAAAAACAAAGAGAACATCTACGAAATGTGCAAACAGTGTGCATGGACACCACAAACATACAGGAATCTTATCCCCATGCTCCTATCCTACAATGCATGTAGTCAGATCCATTAGAAAGAACAAAATCAACAGCAAAAAGCCATTTCTGAAAACTGAAGCTATCCCAGTGTTTAGGTTAAGTGATTAAGCAAAGGCTGCCCTTGTTCTGCCTGTGTGTGCCTAATCCTGGATTTATCCACTGAGCTAAGTGATGTGGTTTTCAGAAYTCAGAAGCAATCAGTAAACTCAGCTTGTATCCTCCACACTTGGGTCTGTTTTACAGTAGCTTTTAAATACACAGTGCTTTGTGTGACTTCAGGTCAGCACAAGTGGAAGTATTGCCTGGAAATGCTGTCACCTTCTTTCCTAGTATGTGCTGTGGACCTCGGTGACAGCATGGACTGAGTGAAGTTTAAGGAGACGCAACCAAATCATACAAAGTCATTTGTTGATGGCCTAAAAGCAAGGTGAGAAATATAATTTTCATAGTTCAGACTGTAGCTTTGACACAGCTCCATGGTGTCCTTCCCATTCAGCCCCAAGACTTCTGTTCTTTAGAACAGAACAGACTGGTGATCTTGAGGGCCCACTGCCCATAGCCACAGCTTGAAGTTCTGTGATTTTCTCTTCTTYTAACAAACAGAGAATTAGAATTCCTACAGTCAAGGCAAGGACTTTGAGTCACTTTTGTTAAGGGCACAGTTTAGTCCTGGCATCTTGGGTCATTCTATGTGTGTTTAAAGAACATAGATGATTACCAACACAAACAGATTTGGTTWCACCTGGGAACCCCAGCCTTGCAAAGTGTTGTATTGTGATAGATCAGCACAACTATGGGACCTCTGGCAACAAGGGACAGAAGGGAAGGAGCAATCGCCTATGGAGAGCCACTACTTGCTCAGACTAAGATCCCTCCTTTTTTAAATTACCTTATTTTGTAGGGGAGGCTTAGACTTCAGAGCAGACAAAATGACAAATATACACAAATAACCAAACAGGAAATGAAGGAAAGAAAGAAGAAGAAAAATATTTATAAATGTCACTGTCCAATGTCTTTTCAATTTAAATGAAATAAGATTATCTACATATATCTACAAATATCTACATGTATCTACACTGTTTGCAGATATGATTCTTTGGTTGTCTTCACTTTTTTTCCTAYGCTGCAACTATCAAGAAAAAAAAAAGTGTTTGTATAATCTTCAAAGGAAATAATAAATATAACAACTTCATTAAACGTTTGACCAAAGCTTTGGCACTAATCAGTTTACAGATAACAAATCATACTGAAAACTCTGAAATAACAGCGGCAAAGCAATAGCAATAGAGCACATCCGAGAGCCATTTCCCACTGACTAATAATAAGCACAAGGCTATTTTACATCAACCTTTCTGAGAACATTAATTATTGTTTAGTCAGACACTAAGAATCTCACAATTCACTGAAAATGTCAAATAAAATACATATGTCTTGCACAAGTCTTTTTTATGGATCGAGATATATTTTTTTAACAGAAAAAAAAAATTACATAAAATATTCATGGTAGCCTGTATCCCTTCTTAAACCTTTCCAAAAAGGTTTTGGAAGCCCGAAGCCCACTGCCAGAGACAAAATAAACATTGCTATTAACACTGCCACCTGCACAAGAGAAGAACACATTTTAAAGGGTTTGTAATGAAAATRCACAAACGTGGATGAATAGATGACTTTAAAAAAATAACCCCCAACTTTTAATAGAGTCATGTGGAAGAATCAGGAAAATGTTYATAATACTGTATACCAACACAGCTGAGGAGCTGCTCAATACCTTCTCTGAACACAAAGGGACTGCCTTTGGTGAGCATCTGACAAAAACACAAGGCAACTATTCAAAACGCATCGCTGGAGAAACTGTGATGAACAGGGCCATCTTTTCAACAGTAAGGAACAAATAATGAATGAAGATATTAAAGGAAAAAGAAAAAAGTACTTACCAGCATTAAGCGGGAAGATGCAGCAAGCAGGTAGTGCAGAGTAGGTGCTTTGGGACTACTGCAGTGGGTCAGCCAAATATAAAGGGTGAGCCAGTCTGAGAAAAAAACCCTGAAACCCCTCTAAAAGGCACCTCCATGGGAGAGCTTTCAAGAGCTCRGGAAAGGACGCAGGAAGACAGGGCTCTGTGAGGTTGCCTGGGAAGCAGGTGAGAACACCCGGCCTAAACTTTGTTGATATTCCCCCACCCCCAGGCTGGTTTTAAACCATGAATTATTGGGAAAACAAGATGCAAACACAGCTGCACGTGGCTACACTCTTGGCCACGGGCCCTTCTCAACAGCTCTAGAAAATGCTGCYATGGTTAAGGCATCCCAGTGAACCCCAAAACTCAAGAGTGGKTCAGGGCTGGAGGAGAAGTGCGAAATTTGTTCTGGCAGTGAGGATTCAAAGCGTTCCCTTAAACTAAACTCTGCTTCCCCCAAGAATCTCCTCAAAGAACCACCTGAGCCACCTGTGAACGAGGCCTCGGTGTTGGGAGAGACTGACACCGACATGTGCAGGACAACACACAGCTCAGGGCCGCCCCCAGAGCCCCTGCTCGGTTCTCACGTACAAGTCCCGCGAACAGGAAACACCCGTGACACCGCCAACACCGGCGGTAACACCAAACCTCCATCAGAAGACCCGACGGACAACTGTGAGGGAACAAGTCACTTCACCGCTGCCGTATCCCCGTCCACCCACCGCATCCCAGCCGCCCGACGGTCCTCGGTGCCCGGCACGAACGGAGGCGCGGGAGAATACGGAGATAAGGACATATGGCTTCATTTATCAAAGTGCAGCCGCGGGTCACACCGCGATGGAGCTCCCGGCACCGCCGCCCTCACAGCCCCCGCAGGGCGGGGCGCGGGGCGGGGTCCGGCTGCCGGCGATTGGGCCGTCCGGCTGTCGATCAGATCACGCTGGCCAATCAGCTCACTCGTAAGGCGGGAGGCGAGGGAAAGGCGGGAAGGGGATGGCGCTGTCTCTCGTGCCGCCGGTGCCCCGTTACCGGGGCCCGTAGTCGTAGCCGGCGGGCGCCCCGGCCGGCGAGTACATGTTGGCGGCCGCCGCCGCCGCGGCCGCTGCGTTCATGTGGTGGTGGTGGTGGTGGTGATGGTGGTGGTAGCTGTGCCCGCGGATGCTCGGGAGGGGGTAGGGTGCGGGCCGGCTCTTCGCCCCCAGATAGTGGTCGTAGGCGGCGGCCGCCGCCGGCGGGTACTTGTAGGGGTGGTGGTGCAGTGGCTCCGAAGCGGCGGGCTCCAGGCGCAGTTCGTGGTGCGGCGGGCTGGGCCGGCCGCCGCCCGCCCCGGCCAGCGGCACCAGCCCGCCGCCTCCGCCCGGCAGCGCGGGGCTGAGCACGCGGGACATGAGCTGCTGGTGCGCGGCCTCGGCCTGGTGCAGCGCCGTCCCGCCCGCCTCCCGCTCGAACTCTCGCCGGCTCTCGGCAGCATCTGCGGGGGCAACAGCGTCAGTGCGGCCGCGCCCGCGGGACGCGCATCCGAACACACGGGAAAGAGGCGCGCGAAGGGAACAGCGGGGCTGCGGGCAGGGCGTGCAGCAGCGGCATGCGGCAGGAACGGGGCTGGCGGGACGGGACCTTCTGACTGCGATAAATGGAGCTGAGTTGACTGACAAGCTGGTACACGCCTGACATTTTTGCAATTGTGTAACACTAAACAAATACAGACTTCCCTTTATTTTGCAGGCCCGGAGTGCGTTGGAAGAAAGGCCTTGGGTTGTCTTTGCAGTTGTTTGCTCTGGGTAATGGAAAAGCAGTCAATGGGCAGAGGTGCTGTTCGACCTGACTGCAGCTGCTGAATGGAGTGGGTCGGCCCTGAGCGCGCTGCCGAGGTGCATTAAAAGGGCAATGCGAGAACGAACCTGTGGCCAACACTGCATCCCTGCCTAAAAAGCTGAGTCTGTTGCCAAAAAGTCAAAAATGGGACTCTAAAGGCAAAGGGCAGTGTTTTTTAAAGCATCAAAAAGCAGCAACGTTTCTTAAGCATAACAACAGTAAGTGTTGTAGCTGAAGGAAGAATGAATTAGGCTATGAAAGTGCACCTTTTTGTTAAAAAAATCGGTAGTAGCACAAAGCTCATTAGCAATGGGGCTGTACACCAGCGTGGTGAGCAAGGCTGGCCCAGGGTATGCACGGCCGTGCAAGCTAACAGGGTCTGGGTGATGGGCTGGCCTAGCCATTGAGGGCTCTCACCTTTCTCTGACCCATTCTGGTGAGCCGGGGAAGAGACTGGATTCCGGGATCTGGCAAAAGCACTCATGAGAGGAAGAGCCCCTGGTCTGTGGTTCCTGGGCCTGAAAAAGGAAGGGAAGAAGTGACACAGAGCTGATAGTCCAACAGAAAGAGCAATTGGAGCGTTGGATCTGTGAGCTGCAGCTGGCAAATGGGGTCCAATACATTATCCCCCTCCACACAAGCCTTGAGCAAATGTAAGCTGGGCATATGAAACAGGGTGAGTGGGTAGCCATAATCAATAAAGGCATAGCCTTACCAGTCCTCAGGATCACAGTCTCTGAATCCCTTGGCAAAAGGGTTGCTGGCAATCTTCAGCTGCGTGATCTGTAAGGARAAGTGGCAAAATGTCTCAAAGCACCACGTGGGGCTCCCTGGCCAAAGAGCCAGTCTGTCACTGAGCAGGATTTGGGACAAAGCAGTGTGTGGTGTAACAGAGAGGGTCCAGGTGGCCACTGGAGCCAGGGTGTGCTCTGCCAGAGCACAAACACAAGCTTTCCCTCTGTTAGAAAATGTGGGCTAATATGCTACCTAATATGAGTTCAAGGTGAAGGGAGAGGCAGTCTGAGGAGTCGGCTGCAAAAGCTGAATAAATGCACTTGTAAGAAAATGCCACATTATATGGGTCACCACTRGAGCAGCTAAGACAAATCACTGGATAAATCATACTTATGTATTTATTTAATTCGCCAGGGAGAAGGCAGGACATTTTCTATATTTAAGCAAATCCACGGATAAAATATGTGATTGTGAGTTTCCGGAATGGGTTGAAAAACAAACTTTAAGCCCCTCAGTGACAGTTCCAGCCTTAGAGGTCAAACTGATAGAAAGCAGGAGAGAAAGAGCAGCTGTCCGGAGCCATCAGGCAAATGCCAGCCGGGGAGGGACTCCGGAGCCCCTTAAAGGCACAGCCTTGCTCTGGCCCCGCTGCCTCCACCCGGGGCGAGGTGCGGCCCGACCGCAGCATCCCGGGAGAGACCTCAGGTGGATTTGCTTGGAGCCACTGTAGAGAGTGGCACTGCTGCCGGCTGCTGGGGGATAACCCCGGGACACAGTCCCAGCCTGGGCAGCATCAGTGCGGAGCGAGGCGATTCCGAGCAGAGCTGAAAAGCCCCCGCTATGAAATCGTATTTGCACTCGCTGCAGGGATTCCTGCTCTCCACATTACACTGATGCGATTTAAAGGAGCAATTGAATTAACTGCTGCCCATAAATCCGCATCAGAATGGGGGGCGGGAGTGGTGTTGTTTTGTTTCGTTTTGTTTCGTTTTTAACATATAATTGTATTCTGGGGAGGGGCAGACAGCTACGAGCTTGAWGCAATAAAATCGCAGATTTATCCAAACAAATTGTGAGTGACATTTCGCAGCGGGAAGCCTGTAGTTTCCCCACTACCCCAGTCTCTGGTTTACATAGGTAATGAGGTCCCCCAGGCGCGGGGAAGCTGGCGATGGGGCTAGAGCCCACGTCGCTTCTTCGGCGTACACCGATGCAGCTCTGCGCAGCTCCCCGGCTATCGGGTTCCTTGCACTGCCCGCAATGGGTTTAGCAGATGGGGAGGAGGAGGCGGGAATACCCCCAGCCACCTCCGCAGCCTGGCCTCCAACCCCGGAGCCGGACGAAGGGGTTGAGCCAGCGCAGGATGCACCCGCACCCATCGTATCTCTGAGGCGACCCCAACCCCCGGTTTTGGTTGCCCCGAGCTCCGCTGCTGCCTCACCCGGTGGTTCTGGTAAGCGGTCACTGCCGTGAAGCGCGTCTCCTCGAAGACGAAAGTTTTGAAGTTCTCCTCCGCGTACTTCTCGCTGTCTTTCCGGGGGTCCACGTAGACCACGTGAAAACGCGGCTGGTATCTGTGCATGGAGTTCAAAATGATCTGAATGATAAAACGAGCAAGGAGACAATAACTGATCCAGGCGGAGCATGGAGAGAGGAGAGCGCAGCCCCGGCCCTGCCGGCTCCCCTGCCCGGGGCAGCCGCGGGGCTGAGGAAGGATCGGGGCGCGGAGCCCCCGGGGAGGGGCGCGGGCAGGGTCACCCCACGGGAACCACGGCGCGGGGAGTYCCCACCCGGTGCAGCTCCGTGTTGGACATCTTCTCCCGGGAACACTTACATGCCCGTTGTCATCCAGCAAATTGTTGGTCAGCTTGAGCTTATCGAAGGAAACGATCTGCTTCATCCACTGCGCCCCTTTGGCCGGGGAGTCCGGGTGGTAATGGACTCTCCCGGGGGTGGCGGGGTCGGCTTTGCCGGCCACCAGCCAGGAGGAACTGTGGAAGGCGTACCTGCGGGAGGGGAAGGCACCCTCAGCCGCGGCCCGGGGGGCTCTCTCCCGCTTCCCTGCAGCGGCGCCCCGAGGGCTGCAGCACCCGCGGCCCCGCAGAACCCGACCCGGGACGGTCCCGCAGCCCACCGAAGGGGAAGCACCGCCTCTCTATCACTCCCGCTTCCTACGGCCACGAGAGGAACGAGCTCTTTTCTGCTGCCAGAATTGCTGCGGTGGGGGGATACAATATTTTATCAGGTCGGCAATGGAACTGTCGTGAGAGAAGTCTGCAGGGTGGAGTAAATTTATAGCTACCCGTGTAGATTTAGGAGAGAAGCCACAAAAGCCCCCCCTTCCTCTAATAAAAGGCTGAAAGGGAGCCCTCTATACAGTAATATTCTGGCTTTAAGTGAAGAGTGGAAAGTTGTGTGCAGATTAATATCAGGTTCAGAATTTAGCAGCCTTGTTTCATTCTTTCAAAGTACATATTCGACAGTAACATTTAAAACAGAGAAACCAATCTTCTATACACGTGTTTACTTTAAAAGCCAGTGTTTGCACAGGGGGAATTAGACACCATTGGACTTGAGCAGAAACATTACTTTTTAAAGATATACTCAATTGGATGTTATATATCCTACTTCCCTTGACAAGCAAACATTTCTAGGACGCTCTGAGAATTTGGATATCTGTCTAAATATTTATATATCGGGCCCTGCGATTCCTATGCAGGCTGCCTGCTCGGCGTCCTGATCTGAAGCTAAATACATAATGCGCCTTTCACTGTCTTAAAATTAAAGGGGCTCCAAACCAGACCGCATCGCTGCCTTGTGAATCGACAGATTCCAAGGCTTTCCTACACTGCCTCTGGGTACAAGGGCAGGATTTTGTGGCTTGGAYGGCTGGTGTCTTTCCAGAGCACAAAACCCACTCTCTTCACCCAAGCACCCAGCAAGATCCCCAGCGGGCATGGCACAGCTCCGAGACACCCGCTGAGAGACAACAGCATTCAAGGAGCACCTAGGGGTTTTTTGTTTGCCGGTGGAGACGTGCAGCAGTGCAAAAAGGAGAGTTTTCTGGGCAGGAMAAGGCAGCTCCTGTCCTGTGCCCTGTGGAAACCTGCCCTTCTGCCCACGCCGGTCTGGCCCCGGTYGTCTGCAGACTTGGTGCGAAGGCTGAGGGGGCCCTGGGGTCCGTACAGCCTCTCCTGGCCCCAGATTCGTTTTAAGGATGTGAAAGAGACCCCAGGTCAGCCGCATCCCGCATCCCCTCCCGGTCTCGCACTGACAGGTGTCACGCCCAGGGGCACATCCCCGAACCCCCGGAGAGCAGAGGCTCCGCGAACCGCGGGACCGGCTAGAATTTGTTACTTGCCGGTATCGCTTGTCGTCCACTGGGACAAAATCCATGAGGAGCATGTAGTCAGCCATAGGGTCCATCCCGAATATCTTCACCTGGAAGGTGGGGAACATGCGCCTGGCACAGAGAGGAGAGAGAGAAGCGCTAAGTTGAGGAGCAGCGGGGAGCCCTGAGGAGCCGGTGCGGGTCCCTTCCCCTCCAGCTGCTCCGATACCCGCCCGGTTTTGATGACAAGACCCCTCTCAGAAACCAACGGACAGAGGAAGCGGCAGATACGCCCAAATTCCACGGGCAGAGTGGCTGCCGTGTTCCCCAGCCCTCGGCAGCATCCCGAAAGGTGAGCCAGGGCAGTCCTGCCTCTCCYGCCAGCTCCGGGACCGTTCGTGTCAGACACCTGAAATGCCCCACCGCGGTGGAACACAGAGGCCAGGGGGAACAAGAGCTTCCTCGGCCTTTGCTATGGGGAGATCAAGTGAAAAAAAAAAAAAAAAAATCTCCCCTTTCGTTTCCCCATCATTTTAGCTGACCTGACTGGAGGCAAATGCAAGGCATTACCCTGTCTGTGGACCCACAGGGAGAGCCCGGGACAGAGCCTCGGGAGTCTCGGGCAGCCCGTGGGGCATCTAAAAACTCCTGCAAACGACACAAAGTAATCGAGTTCCCACTTGTGCCGCTTCTATGAAAGCAGTGGTTACAGCAGSAGTGCGGCCCCTGGGGCCAGCGAGAGACCTCTCGTAGCCTGGGGGGGCAAGCTCCCTCGGCGGGGAAGGACTAGAGGGCAACGGGGATCTCCCAGAAAGCCCCGGATCCACTTGATTGCGAGAGCACGGTCCGGCTCCCGGTCCCCGCAGCTTTGCGGGATGAAGGGAGAGCGGAAAGGAGCCTCGGGCCCCCGAGCAGGGCAGGCCAGACCCCGCGGCTGCTCTCTCTGGTTCTGCTCTGCGCCCAAAGCTAAGCCGAAATGCGGATCGCTCAGGGAGGGCACGAATCCTTCCAAGGGCTGAAGGACGAAAGTGATCGGCGGTGGGCTAAGGGAAGAGGCCGGGACGGCCCACCCATCGTGCATCTGCACACATTGGGGCCAGGGCCTGGCCCGCGGCTCCCCGGCGCGACACACCGAAGATGTGCCTTGTGATCGGGGCTCGTTATGGCTTCGTTTTATTTTACAGAGTAGTCAACCAAGCAAGCCACGGTGAGCAGTATTTCGGGAAGGGGGTTTTGCAGACATTTAAAAACCAAAATCCCRACCTCCCCTGAATAAACAGCCCGATCAAACCCGGACACAGAGAGCCCCCCCACGCCCCGGCTCGTTGAAGGGGCGCAGGGCCTGACCTGCTGCTATGTGCCGCTGCCCCCTCTGAGGGGTGATGGGGCAGCACTCCTCTGGCTCCGCAGCTCTTCCAGACCCGGCCCAGCACTGCCGGGCTGCATCGGGATCTGGCTGCTGCGTTTCCCTCTCTGTAAGGCTTTAGCAAACTCTGGAGGACGTTTTCAGTCCCTTCCTCTGTTATTATTATTTTTAAAMGTGTAAAAGCCCCCATTAGCTCCAATTCCGGTGTTTCTTGTTTTAAAACTTAGTTTTAAAACAAACAACCTGAGACGATAAGACCCATCTAGACAAACAGCAGGGCCAGCCCAGAGAAGCTGGGAGAGAATAGGCTTTGCAGCGCCTTCCCTGAGCCTTTTCCTGCTGSTTTTACCCCATTTTCTCCTGRCTTTACTCTCCTGTCTGGAGATTAGACGGTGGAATAAAGTAAAGAAAGAAAAGGGTGGGGGAAAAAACCCCGATTCAATTCGAGTTGGTTAATTTCCGAAACTTTTTWAAGTGGGATATTGCAATCTTTTCGCTCTTCTGGGAGAGGTAAGAAAGCCAGATCGAAGAACTCCTGTTTGCAGAGAGTCTCCGCCCGGAGCCTGAACAACCTTTTCCGCTAAGGAAAGCAACGCCGAGCCCGGCGCCGGGCTGAGGGGCCGCGGCCGGAGACAGCGGACTGTGCGACCCGGCGCCGGGGCAGGCACCGTCTGCGGGAAATCCCGMCCGGGTCCCGCAACGCAGCGCCGGCTGCTTTTAAATTGGGCACCACAGTAATTGTTTCATTTTAGGAAATCGCTAATTAAAAAAAAAATTAAAAGAAAAGCAACTGCATACATGTAATTATGTTTCATATTTTTTTGCGTCCTCGGGACCCTCAAAATCGCTGGCGGGAGAGCGGGAGCGCACGGCCGCGGGCACCGCTCTTGCCAGAGCGTTCGGTGCGGAGTCCGACCCTCTCCCCCGGTCATCCCGCCACCGTCAGCCTCGGGGCGAACTGAGAGTAAGCAACGGCGGATTCCTTAATTTGTTTGTTTTTCTTTTCTCCCCCCCGCCGGGATCGCTTTAAACCAAGGGAAGAGTCAGAGCCTGGACAATTCGCAGCTCTGCCCCGAGCCTGGCGSGGAAAGCTTCGCAGCTCTGCCCGAGCCGCCGCGGCCGCGGCGCATTCCGGGGATCTCCATTAAATGCAGTAACTAACTRCTGTAATTCGTACTCCTCTTTCCCCCACGTTTTGCTCGTTTCTAACGCGACCGCACCAGCCGCTTTCTTTGTTCCCTGRCTGGGAGCGGGGACCTGGCCCCGGAACGGCGCCGCGGCGGCCGSAGCAGAGCCGAGAAGAGCCGGGCTCAGCCCGGCTCGTTACTCAATAATCGGGAAATGCAACAGCCCTGGAACACACTTCAAGGTGCGGAATTAGGGTCTGTTCACGTCTCCGCCGGAAGGAAAATATCTGTCCGTGCTAAGAATGTATTTAGCAGGTTTTGCACGGTTTGCGTGTTCATTTTTTCTTTCCCCCGTGTCGTTGCTGTCCGCCCCGGGAGCACACGCTGTCCTCCGTAAACACGGATTGGAGTCCCGTATGAGGTCACAGCCGAAGGCGCCCAGAGGAACACAGCGCCCTTTCCAGCGCGAGTGAAACCCAGTGCYCTGCCTGCCGTCCCCCGTACGCCTYCGCCGTCAGCCCGCAGCAGCCGCGCGTTCTTCCGCAGCACCGAGGCCTTCGGGCCGCAAGAGCTCACAGATTTCGCCCCAGGAGAAGCACAAGGATCAAATGACTGCGACCGCTGGGCTGGGCCGAGCTGMTCAGCGACTCGCCCTTGGGCAGCTTCAATTTCCCCCCAAACTACGAATTCAACCKCTCGCGGCCGGACTCTCCCTCCCCGACTGGCCTGGGTGCTCGGGTCCGGAGGGAGCGGCTGGACAGCCGGAACCCCGGGAGATCCGCACTGACCTGCCAGCCTTGGTGACGATCATCTCGGTGCCCAGCTGGTTGAACTCGTCCCACAGTGCCTTCATCTCTAGCTGGACACTCACGTTGGCCACCTTCGGGTTCTTCTTCACCGGCGCCTTGGCCCCGGCGGTCGCCCCCGCGGAGCAGCCCGAGACTGAGGCCGGCCCCGCAGCGGCTCCCCCGGAGCCCTCGGGCTGCTCGGGGCCTGGGGGCGGCGGGTTGGTCCCGGCAGCCGCCGCCGCCCCTCCGAAAGGATAGCCGTGCTGCGGCTGGGGCGGYGGGTGCGGGTGCTGCTGAGCCGTGCAGGGCTCGTAGTGCGGCGGCTCATGCTGTCCGTACGGGTCCCCCGGGGAGGGGGAGAGGTGGTACCCCCCGGAGGCGTTCAGGCTGCTCAGGCTGTTGGCCGTGAAAGCTGCAACATCGCAAAAATGGGACAGCTGGGTGAGCCAGGGGCTGGAGATAGCTGAAATCATTCCAAAAACAGGCGGTCAGGGCTCCGCTCCGGCTCCCGCTTTCCCCCCAGCTCCGCGCCGCTCCGCGCGGCCCCCGCCTCCGCACCGGCTCCGCGGGGTGCCCTCCGCCTCCTCTCCTGCCCCGCGCCCAGCCCAGCGGGGCGCCTCCCCCTTTCCGCTTTGCTTGGCCCCAGCCCCGCTCCCCCCGGGGCAGGCGGGGAGCTCGCTGCTCCCGCTGCCTGCCTGGGCTCTTTTTTTTTTTTTTTCTCCCTTTTTTTTTTTTTTTTTTTTTTTTTT